CAAGCTCAGACAGAGACAGGGATCCCAATGTCTTAGCCCTAGTCACAACTTGTATGCTAGAACCTCATGGGGGTGCAAGGCAGGGGGACAGTAGTGAGGGACAAGGGGTGAGGCAGGGAGGGGTCACTCTTCATCCTGGGACCTAATTTTCCTTAGGAATCAGCTCCACGCCTTCCCTCACTGACACAGTAGCACACCTGTCGGTGGTAAAGTCCCCCTCCTTGGCCACGCTGTAGCCAGGCTCCTCCGAGCCCTTTCTCAACCAGGCCTCAACCTTGGCCTGTGAGAACAGCGGACTCAGCACAAACAATTTTGTCCACCCCCACATGATGAGATTTGGACAAATGCTAGCATAGTCTCTAGCAGCTCAGGGCCACATCCCTAAGATGACCCCAGTCCCCTTAAGACCCCGCCTGAGAAAGCTTAACACTGCCAAAAAATTTACTGTTTGTTCCAACCAAAACATGGCCAGAGGCCCCAACCTCCCTTTTCATAGAGCATTTACCTCATGAAACTTGCAATAATAAATCCTTTTCTTTTCCCTAAAGATGTAAATCTTCTACCACCCAGGAATGTCCTTCAGAAAGGGCAGGGCTGTCCCCAGTCCATGTGGGAGGGTAGGCGCCCGACTGCACTGAGCACCACTCAGCAGACACGACGACCTGTGCACAAGGACCCGCCTCCCCCGACAGCCGTCACGCGTTCCCTTTGCACAGCCCAGCACGTACAAGGCTTCCCACTTCTGCTTCTGCAGAGTCGAGATCAGTTCACACTGAAGTCTCTGTCCCCGACTGCAGTAGTCTGAGTAAAGTCTGTCCAGCCACCTTTCAGCAAGTCTCCAGCTTGGCTTCTCTTTGACATTGTCAGGGTGTTTTCAAGGAGGCCGACTGTGCCTCACAGGGCTGGAGACCCTTCCACCTGCTGCTGCCGGCTGCGCCTCCCCAGCTCCCTTCTTCACTCGGCACAGCGGGCGACCTGCTCTCTCTTTCCTCTGGCTCCTTCTCTCTCCACCCTGCGCCCTTTGTAGACAAATACCAAAAGAACCAGGGAAGAGAGCTGAGGTCACCTACCTCTGCTACGGTGACCTTGGGTCCAAGTTTGCCCGGGGCTGTGAGTCCCACATCCTGGGAAATTCCTCAGTCCTAGGACACACGAGGTCTCGGTTTGTCCTGATGGGTGCGGATGGTTGAGGGAAAAACACAAAGCCCGTGTGAGATTCCAAACACAGGGGCTGAAAGCAAACTGTTTTCAGTGTCACATGAATACAGCATGGATCATCTGTCCTCTGCTGTGACTGTCCACTGATGCTGGCAACATGGCTTGTGGTTCACTGTCGCAGGCCACCTAGTGACAAGTGAGTAAGTCATGTGACATGCTTTAAGTGTGCAACGTTGACTTTCTCTGTGGATTAACTGTTGCTTCGTATCGAGATAGTACTAACTTAATTGTTATCACTGTGACCAGTCTGACCATGCTTTCTAAGAGTTCAGACAAGGAAAATAAGAATGATTATAATACCAATGCCAGAATGACCCAAACATCACTGAAAAAGAAGGCTAGAAAACTATTATTTTAATAGAAAACTATTATTTTAATGGCAGATGGAAGGACACATAGAACGGAACTGGGGGAAAAATAACCAAAACGGAGCATCCTGCACCATCCGCAGAAGATAACTGGGGGCTGGGCATGGTGGGAGGTGATGCGAGAGCAGCGGCAGAGCGAATCTCACACATCTGGGGTGAGACAGGTGAGTAGAGTCAATTTTTCTGATTTATGGGAACTGGTTTTCCACAGTCACCATGAACACTGCAGTAGTGATACTAAACCATCGGTCCCAGACGAAACTCAGGGTTAGGTTCCTGCGAGCCTCTGGTCATGACATTTTTGTCAATACATAGCCTTGTTTTATGTGTGTTTCTGTCTAACGACACCTTGTTTAGTATACACTATTGACATATTAACGTTGCATGCATGGCCAAGAGCACTGTAGCTCAGGCCTGAAGGAAGCTTGTGTGACACATGCATTTGTCTGTAAGGCACATCACAGCCTTCCTGGGCTTAGGAACACAAGACAGCACTCCACACTGTGCTTGGGGGCCACTGTAAACAGCAAAATCACCAACAAAAAGCACAAAAGTGCAAAAACCATGGCACTAAATAGACTGTGAAAAGGACACGCTCACAGCATGAGCTGAGGCAAGAAGGCAGAGCACTGTCCTGCTCAGCCTCAGCTGGGAACGTGCACACACGGTGACGCAAATCATTGCTGCCCTGTGGGTGTCTGTGAACGGCCACGAAAGCACTGTCATATTGGTTTGGGGGTTTGAATAAATTTTAGTGAATGGGGGAATTCCCAGTATGGATTCCACAAAAGTAAAGTTTTAAAGTCCCCAAAGCTGCCCTGTGGGTGTCTGTGAACGGCCACGAAAGCACTGTCATATTGGTTTGGGGGTTTGAAAAAATTTTAGTGAATGGGGGAATTCCCAGTATGGATTCCACAAAAGTAAAGTTTTAAAGTCCCCAAAAGACACCGATGCTCAGTCAAAAATAGTGGCTGCTGAATTATCTTGGGCATATCACACAAATGAATGTGCACAATCGTATCATTTTCTTGATTGCCCCCAGATCAGAGTACAGTTCCATTTCCTGATGGAGGCTGCAGCGACAGTGTCCTGTGGTGAAAAAATGGAGAGTTTTAAGGAATATGTCAACTGCTGAGAGCGTAGAGCCTAAGAACCAGCGTGTGTGAGAATCACAGCAACAACAAATTGTTTCCCTTAATTCTAAGCTAGCTTGAGAAATGGAGTTTCATATAGTCTTCATTTCTGTGAAGATTTTAATAAAACTTCAGAAAGCACGAGACAAAAGATTGACAATGTCTTGTGCAAATACAAGCTGGGCTTTGCTCATTTGTCTGCACGCACGGCAGACAGTACAAATGTAAACTTTTGCAAATTCAATCCAGTCTATAAGATTTTGATCCAAAAAAATGAACAGATATTATCTGCTAATGTCCTGCAGTCCGTCCTTCGGTATCTGCATGGGGAACTGGTTCCAGAATACCAAAATCCCCCAATGCTCCAGTCCCTTATATAAAATGGTGTGGTGTTTGCATGTGAGTTTAACTACCCACAGCCTCCTGTATACTTCAAGTCGTCTCTAGTTTACCTACAACACCTAATACAATGCAAATGCTGCACAAATAGTTGTGATTTTGCATGTTTTGTATTATTTTTATTGTCATATTGGTATTTTTTANCTGGTTCCAGAATACCAAAATCCCCCAATGCTCCAGTCCCTTATATAAAATGGTGTGGTGTTTGCATGTGAGTTTAACTACCCACAGCCTCCTGTATACTTCAAATCGTCTCTAGTTTACCTACAACACCTAATACAATGCAAATGCTGCACAAATAGTTGTGATTTTGCATGTTTTGTATTATTTTTATTGTCATATTGGTATTTTTTACTTTTTTCCTCTAATATTTTCAGTCCACTGTTGGTTGAATCTGAGGCCAGGGAACCTGGAGATAATGAGGGTTGACAGTACACATAACTGATGAGAGACGTGATTTGCTTACCCGTCATATTGAATCTTTCATAATAAAAGTTTTTAGTTCCTTTTTTGTGTCTTCAGAATGTGCAGAAGCACTCAGTGACATTTTTGACTTACAGAGACAGGAGGACGTAGCCTCCTTTAATGAGGTGACTCTCGGTGCTTGCTGTAGAAAATATGTTGAAAAGCTGGTCTGTCATGAAGTCATATTTTCAAAGTATAGAAAAAGGAAAATACTCTTCTTTAACCTGGAAGTGCATTGAGGATGAGGATTTAAAAATAGTACAATAAGTTAGAAATTTATGTGCTGTTTTTCTAAAACCATTTGCCCTTCCTTGAAGTGACTATAAAAAACTGAGAAAAGAAGGAAAGAACTAGCCCTGAGCTGTCAGTGCTACGTGCAGGTTGGGAAACACAGACACAGGAAAAGAAATGCTTTTTTTTTTTTGGAGTATGACTGTGTCAGAACTTAAAAAGAAAAGAATGCCACTAGAAAAGGTATGCCAAGGTAAACAGGACTTTCTCAATTCTTTACTAAAACTGTAAGTTATTTGGGAATCCAACTTTGATTTCACAAGTTCAAGTTCCCACTGTGCTTTAAAACTATTTCCATGAGGAAAAGTGGTGTAACTTATGATGGCATCTGTGGTGCTCTGGAGGGTTTAAAAATGATGGACATTTTAGGCAAGTACAGCCAATACGATGACTTTCTAGATGCAAACAACCCGACTGACAAACAGCTCATCTACCAAAACAAGCCTGTAAATAGAAAGTGGGTGGATGTTTTTGAAGAGCTGGAAATTAATTCCTAAAAGTCTAGAGGCCCGAGTAAAACAGTAAATACTTCACTCTCAAATGCTTTTGTTGAGAGGGTATTTAGACTGACGCCAGGAATCAGGGTAAAATGGGACTGACGAGAACAAAGCTGCAAATCAGAGTGGATTTTACATTGGGCTGGACTTGGCTTTACTGCTACATAAAAGAAGAGTATTTTAAAGGCTGTGGGATGGTTTGAATGTTTGTCCCCTCCAAAACTCATGTTGACATTTAACTGCCAATATAATGGTGTTGGGAGGTGGGGCCTTCAAGTGATTACGCCAAGAGGGCTCCAGCCTCAGGGGTGGGATCAATGCCTTAATAAAAGGGCTCTCTAGCTGTCTGTCCTTCCCCGCTCTCTGCCCTTCTGCCTTCTGCCATGTGAGCATCCAGCCTTCCTCCCCTCTGCAGGACCCACCGTGCCGTGCACCATCCTGGGAGAAAATTGTGGCTCCACAGACACCTGCAGAGCCTGACCGGAGACTTCCCAGCCTGTGCAGCTGCGAGCAATGCTTTTCTGTTCGTGATAAGTTCCCCAGGCTCAGGTGTCCTGTTCTAGCAGCACAAATGGACTCAGACAGGCTGCAAGCGGTTCAGAGACACACTAAAGAAAAGGAAACAAAAGGGTAGAAATGCCCCATATTATAATCCCACATAAAACTCATGCCATCGTTTTCTGTTAAATATAGAAAACATCTATTTAGTTAGTTCCACTGTACATTCCCCCTTTTAAAAAACTTATGTGTATGTATCTTAAGAACTTTATTTTATGTATGGCCTACAAATTTTATTAAATTTAATAAAAATTTAAAGAGTTAAGATAAATTACTGTATCAAAGGACAGGAAAAACACTACTAAAATATTGCTATGTTTTTCTCACACACAATTTTCTTAATTGGTCCTACTATTAATTGCCACTGTTAACTAGTCCTAGTTTTTAGTTTAAATAATAAAATTTATCATTTTTTGTTTTGTTTAAATAATAGCATTTACATAACAGAAAAGTGAATAATATATAATTTCAAATAAACACCATTTTTTAATAATTTTATGTTAAAATAATCCGGGTTGGCTCTCTAAAATTTTAATCATCCTCCTCTGTGGAGAAAACAGAGGGTCCAGAGGGAAAGGAGAGAGCCTCTGTGTCTCTTTTTTATTACGTACATGAATTATTTTGTTTAAGCTTAAAGTTTTAAAATGTACCATGGTTTGGGCCGAGCCCGTGGCGCACTCGGGAGAGTGCGATGCTGGGAGCGCAGCAGCACTCCCGCCGTGGGTTTGGATCCTATATAGGGATGACCGGTGCGCTCACAGCGCTCACTGGCTGAGCGCGGTGCGTCCAGTCTCAAAAAGGACAAAAAAATAAAAAATAAAAAATAAATAAAAATAAAATAAAAAAATTTAAAAAATAATAAAATGTACCATGGTTTAAGAAGGAACATCTCTAGAACCAAATGTCACTAAAAATGCTATACAAAGTGTGGCGGATCCAGATAAAGTGAATTAAAAAACATTTGTTCAAAGACTAAAATCAATGAGGTGGTCAAAACTAGGGAATAAAAATAGAGGGTGCTGAAATAAGGAGAAGAAAGATTAGTAAAGATAAGAAGAGAAATCAGAGAAACTTAAAACAACACACCAAGCAGACAGACCAGACTAAGACGATTCTTTAAAATAATTGATTAGCTCATGTAAACAAAGTTTGATGACATGAAAATTAATAAGTTCATGAATTAAAAATTGACAAATTTGATCAGAATTTAAAAATTCAGTACCACAGAAGATGTGACATACACACCTAATTTTTAAAATTAATTAGTATTTTTAAAAAATTTTGGCAGCTGGCTGGTATGAGGATCCAAACCCTTGACCTCGGTGTTGTCAGCCCCGTGCTCTAACCAAGCGAGCTCACCAGTCAGCCCGACACACTTGATATAAGAGACAAGTTGGGAAGTGGATATGTGACATCTACAATAAACACGAGCTTAGTATCAGAAGATCTGAGAAATTCTTACACACACGAATCAAAGGCAGTCCAACAGGGAAATAGACATCTCGGTCTCCAAAGAGGAGAACTCATGGCTCAATAACTGAATAGACACTCAACCTCACTAATCATCAGGGAAATAAAAAAGTTTAAACAAAATGAGATTCATTCAAACCTATAATATTGGCAAAATATTTTAAAGAAATGTAAAATGCCAGTGGTGACTAGGACCTGAAGAAGCAGGAACTCTTATCTTGCCAGTGGAAGAGTAAATTGGCAGAGCCACTCAGAAGAGTAGTTTGGCAATTATAGAATAGTTAGAAATGCCATTTCCTTATGACCAAGAAAATATCTGAAGAAAACCTTTTGCACATGGGCACCAAGAGACAGTTGCAAAAGTAAGTTCATAGCAGCAGCATTATTCATAAGAGGGAAAAATCTGGAATCATCCAAGAATGTTTAGAATGAGAAATACACGAATAAATCATATTCATACAATGGAATATTACAGCTGATAAGAGAAATGATTTAGAGCCGATGCATAACATGCATACACTTCTCAATAATAAAATGGATAAAAATGTAGCTTCAAAATGAAACATTTATATACATTTTAAAGTAAACTTTTAACTGAAGTAATCTGTGTAAATGTTAAACCATGCAAAATAATATTTTGCAAACAAACGAAATAAGGCCAAAGGAAACATACCAAGTCCAGGATAGCAGCTGCTTTCTGGGGATTTATATAGGGAAATGCGACACCAAAAACTGAAGTTGGAGATTTTAACTTTATCTCCAATGCTGTCATGTTCTTTTACGTATACCTGAAATAAAATGTCTAGATGTGTTTTTTCAGTGTAACGAGTACAAAAGCGTTTATGACATTCTCTGTATCTCCCTATAATTTTTAATTTCTCAAAAAATATAAATATTGAATATAAAATACCATGAGATCCCTCAAAATGGTGAGGCTATATAAAGCTAGTAAGCATTTTATTAAAACAAGCTTTCCCTCTGGGGTGAAAGGTGAGTTAATTTATCCCAAAGCAAACATTAAACAACTCATCTTCAGGAGCTGAAAACAACACATGCTGGCACTGAGCATACTGGGCTCAATCCCCTGAAAGCCAAGCCTGAGCCAAAGGTGTGCAAGTAATCTACTTTGGGAAATCATTTGAGAGAAAAGCAGAGGACTGGGAAGACTGCAGCAGGAAAGGAAGGGAAGACAGCACGAGGTGAGTCCTCAGGTCGTTCACCACTGCAGGCAGCCAGGGCCAGGTTCTGCCAGGACCCTCTGTGGAGTCATGAGAAATACCCCTGGTAAGGGTCTCCCATTCCCCAACAACCAGGGATTATCAGTGACCTGGAAGGTGATGACACCCTCACACCATGGCTTCCAGGGAGGTTCAGGCTGCAGCTGCATGAAGTGCGGGAAGGCGCTGCCAGTCCCAGCTGCATGGAGCTCGCTGCTGCAGGAAAACGTGGGCCAAAAGGACGTGAAGTGGGCAGGGCACAGTGAGCACCTAACCAAGGACAAGGTCATCTGTGGGTTCCCTCTTCCCCCTCTCTCCTTCCCTCCCTCACTCCCTCCCTGCCTTCTCTCTCTCTTTTTGTCCCCACACATCTCTTTAGTCTTTCTATGTCACAGTCTTTTCTCTACTGAGTTGCCCTGAATCCTGTCCAGTTTACACGCAATTCATAGCAGAAAGCAGAGCAACACCTAGAGAGCTGCTCCCGGTAAGTCATCTGAGGCAGAAGAGGCAGACATTTCACTCGGTTCCTTCACCAGTAAGTGGTGCTGAAAAATACAGTTGGCAGAGAATGAGTTTTCCTTCTCTTCGGCATGGAGGCATTTTAATGTGAAGTCCGTTTTTCTAAATAATTATAAAAGATTTGACTTTGACTCATTTATCTATCAAAAATAAACATTTTTAACATCTCTGATCTAGTTTTTAATCCTACATAATTTCATGATATTTTCCACATATTAAGTTGTCTCAATCCATCCAGTTTAGGAACAGTTTAGAACTTTCCATGTAAAATGTCTGTCAAATTCGTTGACGAAGAAACTTAGAGGTCAAGGACAGTTTATGTGTCAAACAGTTTGGAAACCCGGGAGACACAGCACCGGGTACCAAATGGATGTGTTCTCCACCAGGACAAAGAGAGGGACAGGACTATGTGGCCCGTTCTCAGCCACATCCCCACTCCGGTCCTTCATGCAAATGAAAAACTCAAGCTTGCTCAGTCCTGATGGTCCAGCCTGTCATGGAAGAGAGATTCTGCTCACCGAGTGGTGGCCAGTGGATGCTTGACAGGTGACAGTGCATTCGTTAAGCTCAGGGGGAGCGACTCCTCAGCAGCAGCTTAATCTGATGTAAACAGAAACGGGCAGTCAGGAAAAGGCCAAACTTCAAATATCGCTCAGCCCAGGCTGTTCCCGAGGACACAGGGCCTGTGCAGAACCTTCACCCAGCAAACGGCTGCTTGGCTCAGATCAGAACTCAGACCCAGTTAGCGACTCAGGATCCAGGAGTAGCTCTTTCAGGGTTCACATGCCTCACATGAGTTTTATTGATGAATATTAATATAATGTTTAAATAGTATCATACTCTAGAGGAACAAGGGAGGGCAAAGAGTGGGCTGTAAGAGAAAGCAAAAATGAACCTATTGTCTTAGATGTACAAAGATTCAAACTCACTTTAAAAAATACTCTGCATGCCAAAACCAAACCAAAGAACAACAGCAAACCCCAAGCAAGACACACACATTTGCTGGGGCCGGCCCGGTGGTGCACTGCTACAGTGTGCCACTTGGGAAGCACGGCGGCGCTCCCGCTGAGGGTTTGGATCCCACATACAGACCGGCCGCTCACTGGCTGGGCAAGGTGCGGGCGCAACACCGAGGGTTGAGATCCGTTGCCGGTCACGAAAAAAGACAAAAAGGAAAAAAAAAAAAAAAAAAGACACACACATTTGCTGACTTTCATTGTCTACACCCGGGAATTGGCCAAGGCCGCAGGAGTTACCCACTAAATGCCTTTGGCATCCAGACAGACAGACAGCCTGAGTCTTACTAATTTATGTTTCTTTTTGGAGTGGGAAGAAGATTCAGGATGAATTGTAGAGGGACATACAAGATGGATAAAATTGAATGAATCTGTGAGTTAGGTAATACATGGGAGAGAAGTACAAAAACTATAAAGCAGTTTAAGGACAAATGCCCTTATATCACATAAAGTCGGAACACCACTTCATTTAGGAAGTTCCTGGTAGTCCCAGAAACTTTCAGTGTTCTATAACCTAGTTGATAATAAGTGGCACATGAATTGGAAATATATCTGCATTGAGTTCTTGGCTCAGAGGTAAAGCCAGCACGTAATGATCATCTCCAGCGACACTGGAAGGGACAGGGCTTTTCAAACCCAGGTCTGGGGTGTCGCTGTCAAATCAACATCTTCTCCTGCCCTCCTAACCCACTGTCCCCGGCCACATTTGGTCTGCTCTCCCATAGCACACATTAGCAGATACAATATCTGTCATCCTGGCTTCCATTTATTTCCAGAAAAGCCCAGACATGATTTATCTGCAAAATGGGGAGAAGAGAAGAAAGCATCCTAAGTCTTAGGTTATTCACAGACACTACACAGGTTTTATTTCAGGCCACCATTCATTTGAGAACACACAGAGAACTTTGACCTTAATCCACATGGTCTGGTCTTAAGAAGAGAAGCATCCTGTGCTTACTTTGAAGGTGATGTTAACCTCAGACTTGGTCAGATGCAACATCTTGTTCCAGAGAAAAACTCATCTAAGAGGCAGGTTGGAGCAGAGACGAGGCTGCCCTGGGCTGAATCATCTCAGCCACTTGCCGCCTCCATAGCCTTGAGCTGGTTGCTTTTCCTCACTAAGCTTCAGTTTCTTCACTTATAGAATAAGTGCCTCAACATTTCTTCTTGGTTTCCTCAGCCTCACCTACATTTCTAGAAGTTGTCCTTTCATTCATGATTTTCCACCTACACTGGCCATGAGAATCACCTGGGAAGCCCAGGTTCCACCCTCAGACACAGGGATTTTGAGAGCTCCCAAGTGACTCTCATGGGCAGCATGGCTGAGAGCCACTATGTTAAAGCCTCTGCCTTTGAAGCATATGATGTGAATTCTACTTTCCACTTAGATCC